CACGACAACATAATGAACAGTATCAAAGATTACTGATGAGATGTGCAATAATGATATCAACAAACTTAGACAAAAACATTTATAAAAATTAAAACAATCCACAAATCTGTTGAACTACAATTGAAAAACTGTATTTACAAGCGGCTATAAAAAGTGCTCAAGTACATTTGAGGTGTAAATATGCTTTGAGAACCTTTTAATAAATTGCAGATCACATTCTGAGTGTGACGACAGTGGTGGTTGTTTGGTTGAATACTTGATTCGCAGCAAGTCCCCAACCTCATCAATGATCGCCAGAGCCTGTAACGAGTGTTTGTTTGCTTGGTTGGTTGCTTGGTGGTTTGTTTGGTTGGCTGTTCGCTTGTTTGTTTGTTTGCTTGGTTGTTTGTTTGATTGGTTGTTAGTTTGGTTGGTTGGCTGACTGTTCGGTTGTTAGTTTGGTTGGCTGTTTGTTTGTTTATTTGCTTAGTGAAATGTTTCCATATATCACAAAACTGTTAATAATTTAAAATTGAAAACAAAAAGTGTGTTACTTATAAGGCATTCATCGTCATATAACTTCTTTCATCTTTCATAACAGTTCAAAGAAATCGAAATTTTCAAACGATATAACCATGTTATTGTAATCTTTATCATCATTATGATAAGTCCTAATCACATATGTCAAGTTACCGCCATCTTGATTTTATTAAGAAGATTTCTGACGTAACTTTCACACTCATTGATACGGTTACAATGACGATGAACAACATCTCAACAACCCAACAACCCAACAAACAAACAGACAGACAGACAAACAAACAAACAAACAAACAAACCCAACAAACAAACACCCAAACTAGGACCAACTAATTTGAACCTGCACCGATGAGATGCTCACATGAAAACATCAGCACACCTGAACCAAAAACACAAACAGACACAAATCAATATTCTGACAAAAAGCAATGCACGCAATCAAATGTATCATTTAAACGAACGAGGGTGAGCATGAAAGCGACGTACACTAGCTTTTCAGTTTCGCATAGAAACTAATAAAGAAAATTTCACACACACACTACACACACATACAACACACTCATACAACACACACATACAACACACTCATACAACACACACTCACACACACTTACACTCACACGGATATAAACATCACTCACACGCATCTTAATTCAAACATGCAACCTTCAACAAAACTACACACACACACACACACACACACACACACACACACACACACACACACACACACACACACAAACATGAACAATCTAACTACCTAGCAAACACACATATCCAGGTGAATGAGCACACCACAGATACACAAACATACACAGACAGACACACACATACATACTCAAACACACACGAGTAGAAAGACAAACGAACCCGATCAAGCGTGCTTCGATTGTGAGCGGCAGACAAGCAGAACCTGGCCCTGGCTTCGATGATGGGGGTGGCAGGAAAACCAACGACCACAGTGGCAAGCCCACGAGACAGACATTCCCTACTGAACGCTCTATAGTAAGCAAGTTGTCAGGTGTGTGATTTGGTTACAATGAAAGAATTTTGAGAGAGAGAGAGAGAGAGAGAGAGAGAGAGAGAGAGACGACTTCAATAATGATTGTGATAAGGATAAAATCGAATAAAGAAAAGTTTGACTGTTGATGACTTTAAAGATGGAAATTAAGTCTGCCTGGACCAATATCAACAAACAATTCTGATAGTGAGAAGGTAAGATATAACGGAACCTCCCATGGCAAATACTCACGTGACCTTGGCAGGACAGAAGAGCAGGAGGGGCACGACAGGCGAGTTGACGTTGCCGTAAATTATGAAGCCCATCTTGTTCAGCCTGGCCCGGAAGTAGCGAGAGTTCCATGCCAACTTGGCCACCCTACGAGGGCCTGTCGAGACGAGGATGAATGAGTGAGTGAATGAATGAATGAATGAGTGAATGAATGAATGAGTGAATGAATGAATGAGTGAATGAATGAATGAGTGAATTAGTGAGTGAATGAATGATATGGTGATACATGACTATGGTTAACAGAATGAAAGGTGTAAACACCTGAAACATAGAATGAGTGATAAATAAAAATTATAAAAACGTCGGTAAGCCGTCGCTAGTGACTGAAGTTCAATTAGTGAATTAATGTTGGATGGATCGTAAAATCCTTCACAACGCAACTGCATTGAGTGTTGTTGCACCGTGCCTCATATTTTAATGCTCCTAAGTTGCGCGTTCGAATTCTAGCATTGCCAATGATTTCATGACGATTACATGCCAATCCCATAGCAACAAAAACAAGTTGCAACATGTGAATTTGGAACAGCTGATTTGGAAAAGAGAAAAATTTTAATTTTCGACACAACAACGACAACAACAAAAACAACAGCAACGACAACAACAACAATAACAAAAACAACAGCAACGACAACAACAACAACAAAAATGAATAAATCACACCCACAGAAGACATCGCAAAAAATCATTACACTCACAGACAACCAACCATCATCGTCTCCAGTTTTATTCATGATGATCCTCATTGTCGATATAATCTTCAAAAATTATCAAACACGTTTAAGCGAGTAGCGATTGCAAGAACACACATAGGTAAATAAATTAATGGAAATAAATTCAGGAAAAAGTTATACAGACATCTTACAACTCATTGATAATCAGCAATCAGAAGCATCAGTGCAACGATGTTAATTAATGATATGAATTAATGAATGAAGATGTTGGCATCATCAATAGCTAAAAATGAATTAACACAAACAAACAGACACACACACACAAACAAACACACACACACACACTCGTACGATACGAAACAACGTTCAAGAGTAGCAGACTACAGTTGAGTTGAGGTACAAACCTGCTGGGCTGCTAAGGCGGGCATGCTGACAGCGTACGTGCAACTGTGCGACCGCAATCTTAAGTGGTCTATGAGAGACTGTTGTTGTTCAGGTTGGTGGTGGCGATTGTTTTACTACTACCTACTACTACTACTACTACTACTACTACTACTACTACTACTACTACTACTACTACTATTACCACTACTACTACTGATGAAATGAAGTAGCTGCAATAAATTGTGATCAGTAATAATGACACAACGAGTGGTGGGGGGAACAAAATAAAAAAGCAGAAAAAGAAGTTGATAGGTCGCAATTATTACCGGCAAGAACCAATCAGCTGTCTCAACAACTCTTAAAAATACACCATTAAATGAGGCTAAACATAAAACCAACCCATTTATTTCACTCAACAAACGAACCAACCAACCAACCATGCAACTAACCAACCGACCGACCGACCAACCAACCACACAAACCAACTTCAACCGACCTTCTTGCCTCCAATGTATCCACCGACTGCTCCAAAACTTTTGGTGAACGTGCCCATCATGATGTCGACATCCCTTGGGGAGCACCCCCAATAATCTGTGACACCTCTGCCGCGGGGACCAACCGCCCCGATGCTGTGCGCCTCGTCCAGATAGATGTAGGCCTTGTACTTCTTTGCCAGGGCAATAATTTCGGGCAGCCTCACTATCGATCCTTCCATACTGATGATGTTTGTTGCGATGGTGATGATGTTTGCATGGTGTTGATGATGATGTTTGCATGGTGTTGATGATGATGTTTGTATGGTGTGATGATGATGTTTGTATGGTGTTGATGATGATGTTTAAATGATGATGGTAATGATGTTTGTCGTGACAGTGTTGATGATGATGTTAGTATGGTAAAGATGATGATGATATTGATGTTGATGATGAAGATCATACAAACAAACACATGATCAAAATTATTTTGGTGGAATATCGTGACCAACTGCAATAAATAAGTAATCTCCTGGAAAGTTTTGCATCGCTGCCAATAAAAATAAAATAGAAAGAGAACCCTACTCGTTTGCGTTAGAAAACAAAACAGCAGATAGAAATAGGCAGATACAATCAGGGATGAATTATTAACGAATAAACAACTTTCCACCCATCGCCTCACACGCATTAAAACCAACCTGTACACCCCCTCAACAATAATTAGAATCTTCTTCCAGGGTCTGAATGTACGGGGCTGGCCGTGGAACAATGCATCTCTCAGTTTGCACTCTAGGTCCACCATATCTAGAGCAGGGGGAGTGGGAACAACTTCATTTGGGTTTTTATACACTATTAAACAATAATTACCTTTAATAATTAATGTTACTGTTTCGAAACATAACCGTTTCATTTATATTGGGTCATCCGCAATAAAGGCGCCGGGATAGTGTAATGTTATTGCAACTGGGTACAAACTCCTTCATTCGCACGTGTATATGTATGTATGCATGCATATACATGAATGGTTTGTATATACATGAGTTGTAGGTTTCTTGCAGATACATCTGAGATAAACTACATAGAATGAAATAGTAAAATACGCAGACGTGCCAAAAAAAACACACAGCGCAGGCAGATGATGGACGGTTGACACACCAGCGATCGAACCCAATCGTTACAACGTTAAAGACGGATACTTTAACATTGCGACATCCATATTTAGAATATGCATTTACAGATGTTGCTTTGAAGGAGCTGTCAGTAAATATTCGTAAACAAAAAAGTATTTGTTCGACAGCAAAGTCATTGAAACAATGAAATATTTCTAGGATTCATGGAGTTCGACGTCAATGTCCTCATAACGTGAATTGTTTAACACAATTCACTGAATCACACACCACACACACACCATACACACACACACACAAACACACAACTCACTGACTTATTCATTGTTCACCGGGTGACTTCATTTCAGACAATAAAAGGAATCGTTAACTATACACTAATGAAGTTAGGAAAAGAGGTCGTTAGCATTTTTACTATGATGTTAGTTGTTAGGAAAAGAGATCATCAACATTAAACTCACGAAGTTGTGAGCTTGCCGATGAACAGGTTAAACAATGTTTTTGGCAAACAATCAATATGAATGTCTCAGTCATTCCAACAATCGATGAATGAACAAACAACAAAACAAACAAATATCACACTGGCAATAAAAACAAAAAATTCTTAAACGAAGTGAAGAAAAAAATGATTGGACGGGAAAAAACTAATAAACGATAGAATTAAACTATATAAAAAAATCCAAACGAATGAAGACTTCACTTCACTTCAACAATGAATGACACGCGTCATCAACAATTACCAAGTATAAAAATATAATAAAATTGAATGCCTCTAAATAGTCTTTGTATAACGTTAAATTATTTTCGATAATATTGGTTTTATAATGTCTGGTTACTTAAATTTTTATTGTCAGAGTTTATTGGTTCATAGATGCTCAATTGCTTGTCTTATTGGCAGAGTTGATAGGTTGATATTTAGGTTACCTACATTAATTAAGAGCTACAGGTTTTTTGTATTCTTTTCATGTTGGATTGTAATTGTTTTATCTTTCGCATGAATCAAGCCGTTCGGAAAATATTACAACACTAAACCACGAAATATTTTACAAATTTATTTTAAATTGGATTAAGACTGTCAGAAATGCAATTATTGATGACGATCACAGCATGTTCGGCGTTAGTTAACTTCCTGTTTAACTTTTCGATTTTTCTAACGGTTGATCGTAAATCATTCTCAAGTTTCTTTAGCTCAAAACCAAAATTTTTGTTCATTTTATGCACGATAGGAAAAAAAGCATATTTTCGGTATTCCTATACCATCTTCGGTGTTCGAATTTATTTTACTGAACCAACAAAAAGTCACAGAAGTGCAAGAAGTAGAAGAAAGACGTGAAACAGCACCCAACCAGCAACCATCGAATAGCGAACACATCCAGTTTGTAGGATGAACTCTAATTACATGCGTCAACACGTACGCACACGAGAAAAACATCTCACAAAGCAGTAACAATAAAAACAATGCATTGCTTAACTTGAAGCACACATTTTGAACTGTTCGCCACTGATTAAATTGAAACAGTAGGCACGATGCACTGTGAAACGTCTTTACGGCAACCTAAACTACTCTTATGTAGACGCAACCTGTTTAACTAAGTTACAACAATTACATCATTTATTGAGGACTGTTATCAGCTACATGCAGAGTGTACAAATACAGGCGAAACAACGCATGAAACACATTGCATCAAGCATGTGATAGGCGGAGATCTTTTTACAACCGGTCACAGTTATCAGTGCCAGTCAAAGTCAAATATGAATAAAGATTTCACATTTCATTTGTTGGTTTCTTTTTTTTTACAGTTTTTTCTTAGAATTTTTTCCGAGGTTAACAACAAACAGGCAAATCAACCCACCCATCTCATACACTCCGTATGGTAGGCGAGGTTACTCTTGCATTCAAACCCAGGCACTGTAACAAGTGTCAGACATCTAACCGAACCAACCCAACACACCAGTGAACTAACGCGCTGGCTCTTTAACGATGTCCACAATAAATAATAACCAATAAATAAATTCATTCAATCTTGCCTAATTTTCCGCCCAGTCAGTCGATCAATAATAATTTATTCATGCAACCAACCGTTCCGCAAATTTAACATTCATTTATTCAAACAGACCTTCATTTAAATATGTATACAACTAACCAGCCATTTAAAAATATTCACAGCGCATTCACATTCATACAAATACTGACGTACCTACCAACCAGAGCAGACAGGTAACACATTGAACATACAGCTTCAGTCATGTCGATCTCGCCTTACAAACGAATGCAGAAAAAAATTGATTGATTTAAATGTCTTGGCGTGTCTAACGAACGCTTAACTAAGGAAGAACGAATTATGCACTGTGCTAGCAAGCAAGCAATGAAGATGTTAAGTGAATAATGCATTAAGATAGCTTAAAAATAGAATATATGAAGTTCTTCACAATGCTTGAATGAGAAGGTGCATTGTTGAAGAGAGGCATAAATTTCATTTGAATGAATGATCCTCACACCATGCGTCAATGTCACAGTTAGAAATACGTTAACAGGAACCAATATAGATGAAAAGAACCTATAAAACTACTGTCAATGCAAAACAGTACACAACAGTAATTAATGTCAATTAATAATTAACCGCTGCTATCAATAATGACTGATAACAACAACAACAACTATCTGGAGACCATAACAAGTACAACTAAAAAAGAATATTCCCACGTACACTATCTATCTACGTGTTACTTATCTACCCGTAAAGTAAATAAAACAATTGGCCTAGCCAAGCTGATGAATGAGTTTGCTGACAAATGAACAAATATCCATTGAAGAAGTGAATAAATGAATGTCAAATAAACACATAAGATAAATGAATGAATAAAAAGTGAATAAAACAAGGAACAGCGAAAGCACATGAACCTAAAACCTTTTCTAACCTTAGATATTCAAGCAATTGTCTCACATTTCAACTAATGTGCCTGCGTTTGAATAAGACACGACAAATTAAATTTATTTAGGAACTTCATAGAGATGTCTCAAACTTCCTATCTTC